AAGATTATGTATAAGGCTGGATACATTTTAAGCGGCAACATTTTGGGGTCGTCCAAAAAAATAATCATTATTTCACAATTATAGACTAAACTCGGTCCGGTTGTGTGTAACAATCTTTAAAAAATATATATAAATTCGACTGATCATTTCAAAAGATGATAAATTTTCACTATATTTTAGACTAAATTTGAGTCGGCCGTGCGTGCACGACCATAAGACTACTAGTCTTACATATAAGAAAAAGTATGAGCAGTTTAGGGCGCGACACGTGTCCATTACTTTTAAAAGAATTGCCCCTGCAGTTGGTCTCTATTTATAGTTCTGCCCCTCAGCTTCACGTCTTATTTTATATTTATTTTAATTTAAATTTTTACGTTTTTTGTTGCTAAGAGCCACTCCAATGCTGCTTTAGAATAGCGCAAAAAGCTGAAGTAGCGTGAAAAAGTATCTCCAAGGCAGCGCTATATTTTAGCGCTAGATCAGATAAATAAACAGTACTGCGCCAGTTCTAGCGCAGTACTGTAGCAGAACGCCAGAATTTTTTATTTTATTTTTTTATTTTTTTAATGTATTATTAATGATAAATTTTTGTATAATGTATATTAATAAATATGTTTTTATGTTAAATAACTTTACGGAACGATAGAGATATTATATATAACGCACAAATGTGCAGAAAACAGCCACCAGCTGATCACAACCAGCCAACAGCTGAATACAAGCAGCCAATAGCTAAAACTGGAAGAACAGGACAAAAGCCTGCCTAGAACCGACTCCAACGGGGTAATACTCAAGAATACTAAAAAGAAAATACACCAACTAATAACACAAAGGCCCCAACAGGGCAATTCCCGAGTGTCGGACTCCAACAGAGTAATGAAAATGACACTCGGGAGCACCGAGGCCAACGGCCCAAACCTAAAATACAAAATAGAACACCCAGGCAAAGAGCCCAAACCAAACACGATCCTACCACAACAAGCAACAAAGATTCCTAAAACAACTACACACGAACATAACAACCTCCCGCAGCAGGTACATCCAAAAAGGTTAGCAGACAAAGTCGGTTCCGAGGAGAGCTCCAAAACTCCGATACCACGCCCACCACTGCTTAAGGCCTAGCAAGACGATGACCGAAGCCGCAAAACCAAACCGAGAACGCGACCCTTTCTCCAACCGCAGAAAACCACGCACACCACTCCACCGGCTAACACCACTAGCCGATCCGACACCCAACCGAGGCAGCCTAACACCACTAGCCTACTCCGGGGACCGTCGGCCTCCCCCAAATCTCGGAAATCGAGCAAGGGGGATAAGGGGACGAGCGGCTTCCCAGCTCGGCCGCTTCAACCAAGCCCAAACGAGCACCCATATCAACCGAACCTGCAAGGAGAAGCCATGACCCTCCATCCCCGCAAACGCTCAGAGCCGGCGACCCAACCTCTGCAGCCGGCGACCCAACCCCTGCGGGAATCGGAAGACCCACGGCAATCCTCCCACACAGGCCGACTAGAGGCGCCCGACCACAGCCGATTTCGACGACACAAGCATCATCCACACGCAACCCCACCCCGCCATGCCCCAAACCACTGAATTCCGGCGGCCTCGAACGGAAATTTGTTCTGCCGGAACCCTAGCCCTAATTCAGCGACAACAAGACAGAGTAAGGTAGAGCCGCATCCACGGATGAGCGGAGGAGGTCGTCCACCGACGATGACGGACGGCAGCTGAGGGAGTTGATCGGCGAGAGGAGATGAAGCTCGAAGAAGACGGGATTTGGGGAGGACGGGTTTTGGGGAAGAAGACGGGGTCCTTAATTATTGTTAAATAACTTTGGGCAATGTATTTTTTATGCTAAATAATTTTGTACTTTTTATTTATTGATGTATTATATTTTTATTTTGTAATTTTTTAATATTAAAATAGTACCACATGAATAAAAGTTTAACACATTCGAACAAGTAAATTTGCACTAATTCATATATGGTCTAGTGTGTAAACTTGCACTAATTCATATATTTTCAAAAGTAATAGTTTTGATTCAATCGGTACATAGATGTATATGTATCTTCTTTAAGAAATTCAATTTATTACAATCATTTTTTAAATGTGAAATAATAGTATTGAGGAAAATAATAATACTTTAAAGGATGTATATTAATTTTATTTTGTAATTTTTTAATATTAAAATACCACCAAAAATGAATATAAGATGAAATATACATATATTAGAATTTATTTGAAATAAAAATGAATAAAAAAGATAATAAATTTGAATCAACCGTAGAATTCTTATCTAAAGATCAATGGCTAAGATCATATATATACATAATAAAATTTGCATAAGATATGGTCTAAACCATATATGGTCTAATGTGTAAATTTGCACTAATTCATCTATGGTCTAAACCATATATGGTCTAGTGTGTAAATTTGCACTAATTCATATATTTTCAAAAGTAACAGTTTTGATTCAATCGGTACATAGATGTATATGTATCTTCTTTAAGAAATTCAATTTATTACTATTATTTTTTAAATGTGAAGATATGGTCTAAACCATATATGTTCTAGTGTGTAAATTTGCACTAATTCATATATGGTCTAAACCATATATGGTCTAGTGTGTAAACCATAATTTTTTTTTTTTACTATTTGGGTAATAAACATTTATATAATATTACATATTCATATATATAGCAAATTATTCGAAATAAAAATAAATAAAATATATTTTTATTATTTGAGTAATTAACATTTTATATAAAATTAAATATACATATATACCAATTTATTTGAAATAAAAAATAAATAAAAAAAATAATATATTTAATGTAGAGTAAAATGTAGAGATAAGGGTTGGAGATGAATGTTCAACTCTACTCTAGAGTAGAGTACAGTCCGCGCTAGAGTAGAGATAAGGGCTGGAGATGGCCTAAGAGCCACTCCAATGCTGCTTTAGAATAGCGCAAAAAGCAGAATTAGCGTGAAAAAATATCTCCAAGGCAGCGCTATATTTTAGCGCTAGATCAGATAAATAAACAGTACTGCGCCAGTTCTAGCGCAGTACTGTAGCAGAACGCCAGAGTTTTTTATTTTTTTTTCTTTTTTTTAATGTATTATTAATGATAAATTTTTGTATAATGTATATTAATAAATATGTTTTTATGTTAAATAACTTTGTGCAATGTATTTTTTATGCTAAATAATTTTGTACTTTTTATTTATAGGCTTTGAATTGGATCCTATCTGCTGTGCTTGTGGTGAGGAGTTGGAATCCATTGAGCATGTTCTGCTGCACTGTAACAGAGCCAAATTAATTTGGTCTCTGGCCCCTGTACAATGGAATGCAGCCACTCAAACTGACTCATTTCAAATGTGGTGGAGAAATGTTTGTTCTGTGGACAAGAAAGAGATCTCAGAGGCCAGAATTGAGCTGACTACCTACATATTATGGTGGCTTTGGAAAGCCCGGAACCTTTGGAAGTTTGAGGAGATCTGGCTACCAGAAAGAGCTCTTCTTAGTGCTGCTCACAGTGAATGGCTGGAATTCAAAAATATCAAGCTGGTGGCCGAGTAGCAATGCAGGGAATGGAAGCACTAGGTCCTTTGGTTCAGTAGTGTTCTTTTCTTCTGTTACTTTGTTCATGGCTAGTTTGATTTTTTTCTTATTCTGGTTCTGATTTTTCTGCAGTAAAGGGACCTCAGCATGTCTGCCCTTTATCTGTTTTTGTGTCCTGTTAGTCTGTGGTTTGGGGCACTGGCATTCGTTGTTTAGGATTGTTAGTTTATTGTGATCTTGGTAGATTAATTTGGTGTCTAGACCTCTTGCAGGGGGTCTCTATTTGTTTAGTTTGTACTTTAAGGCTATTTAGCCTTCGGATTATTGACTGTAATTTGCTTTTTATGAATGATATGCCTATCGTTTTGGAAAAAAAAAAAAAAATGTATTATATTTTTATTTTGTAATTTTTTAATATTAAAATAGTACCACATGAATAAAAGTTTAACACATTCGAACAAGTAAATTTGCACTAATTCATATATGGTCTAGTGTGTAAACTTGCACTAATTCATATATTTTCAAAAGTAATAGTTTTGATTCAATCGGTACATAGATGTATATGTATCTTCTTTAAGAAATTCAATTTATTACAATCATTTTTTAAATGTGAAATAATAGTATTGAGGAAAATAATAATACTTTAAAGGATGTATATTAATTTTATTTTGTAATTTTTTAATATTAAAATACCACCAAAAATGAATATAAGATGAAATATACATATATTAGAATTTATTTGAAATAAAAATGAATAAAAAAGATAATAAATTTGAATCAACCGTAGAATTCTTATCTAAAGATCAATGGCTAAGATCATATATATACATAATAAAATTTGCATAAGATATGGTCTAAACCATATATGGTCTAGTGTGTAAATTTGCACTAATTCATATATGGTCTAAATCATATATGGTCTAGTGTGTAAATTTGCACTAATTCATATATTTTCAAAAGTAACAGTTTTGATTCAACCGGTACATAGATGTATATGTATCTTCTTTAAGAAATTCAATTTATTACTATTATTTTTTAAATGTGAAGATATGGTCTAAACCATATATGGTCTAGTGTGTAAATTTGCACTAATTCATATATGGTCTAAACCATATATAGTCTAGTGTGTAAACCATAATTTTTTTTTTTTTTTTACTATTTGGGTAATAAACATTTATATAATATTACATATTCATATATATAGCAAATTATTCGAAATAAAAATAAATAAAATATATTTTTATTATTTGAGTAATTAACATTTTATATAAAATTAAATATACATATATACTAATTTATTTGAAATAAAAAATGAATAAAAAATTAATATATTTAATGTAGAATAAAATGTAGACATAAGAGTTGGAGATGAATGTTCAATTGTACTCTAGAGTAGAGTAAAGTCCGCGCTAGAGTAGAAATTAGTGCTGGAGATGGCCTAAACAGTGTAGTTTTGAAGTTGCACGCCATCTGCTGCGAATTGACTGAATTGTTTCGGCTTTTTCATCTTTCATACGGAATTCCCGCACACGCGAGGTTGGAGATTTGATGGGAGCAGTTAATTTCTTTCCCTAAACACACCCTATCAAACCTCTCATTTTCCAATTCTCACCGCCTAATTAAGGAGCAACGGTTCATGGAAAATAGATCGAAAGCCAGAGGGAAATACATTTTTTTTTTTGGCGCTCGGCCAGGATCAACAGAGAAAGGGCGGTGGCGACGCGTAGGCGGGTCCAGGTCACGTACGCAACGAACTCTGACGGAGAGGAAGAGGGCGCTCATCGGCTAATTGTAGATGAGGCAGTCAACAATGGTAACTCCATCGTCTCTCTACACCCGAACACCATGGAAAACCTCCAGATTTTCCGTGAGAGACACTATTCTGATTAAGGTTAGGCAATCTATTTTCTTTTTCTTCAGAGTTTTTTTTTTTTTTTGTTTTTTGACTGGTTCATTTGTTCTAGCATTATGCGATGTCGTTTCAGTTTCAGCTTAATTTAGTGCATGTAATTTCAACAACAACAAAGGGAACAAGTGAAGATTCTGAGTCAGGTCAATTTACAAAAATAATGAACTTCTTGTAGCAGAGTATTGTGAACATGCTATCCAAACATGTGTGGCCTGTGAGTTCCAATTTCAGATTATTTATGTAGAAATTTAAAAAACTTGGTGAAATAAGCAGTTGCTGAATTATTCGTTAATGTGGACAAATTGATTGATTATTACATATTGGGAATTTGCAGGATATGGAATTTGGCTGGAAAATAGTGGTTGGTACAGTGATTGGATTCTTTGGAGCAGCCCTTGAGAGTATAGGAGGTGTCGGTGGAGGCGCCATTTGCGTTCCCATGCTCTCTTTGATTATCGGGTTTGACCAGAAAACTTCGACTGCAATATCTAAATGTGAGAGTCAATATTTTTTGCATTTGTGCTTTTGTATTAGAAAATTTTCTGTATCTGCAAGATGAGAAATTGTGTATGTGAATAGTTTTGTGTTTTCAAATGTCGACTTTTGCTCTTGATTCTGCATATAATTCAATTAGGAATCCATACTATACAAAAGAGTGCTTAAATTTCTGATAGTAGTCTTCAAATCACAAATAAGAGACTTATAATTTATTCATATTTGACTCTCTTTCGACTCATTTGCTTGGCTTTGAGCTTGTTTATAACATTGTGTTTCTAATAATCACACTCAGTCAGCAAAAGTGGGTCAACCTTATGCGAGAGAAGCTGCTGGGCTTGTGGTTGATATGATTCGCCAAAAGAAGATGGCTGGGCGTGCTTTGTTATTCGTTGTCCCACCTGTACTTGGAAAAACTGCTCTTGCTCTTGGAATTTCGCAAGAACTCGGCAGCAAGGTAATACTATCAGCAAATCCAGACTTTTTTGAAAGTGAATTATGAGAAGAAGTTAGTTTTAAAATTCATGGTATTGATAATGAATTATGAGAATAAGTTGATTTTAGAATTCACTGCACTTGTTGATAAGTCATGACATAATTGGGCTAAAAACTGTGAAAAGGAACCAAGCAACTGAAGTTGGATCCCACAATTTATGATGCCTTGATAAAGGAAAAGGTGACCATTTTATATCAAGCACATTGATCCAACAATATTGTGATCCATTCCAACTACATTTTTCAGTGGCATCCGGCACAGTCGAATCCAACTACATTTATGTGACCCACTTTGAATCCAAGAGATCATGTCGTTCTCCATTGAGGTCCAGTCGGGTTCTTTTAGGTATGATCGTCATTTTTTTAATATTTTTGAGTGGTGGTGTATAAATATTTACTCCCATACATTTTTTCCATGACTTTTGCCTTACCTTTTATTCATTGTGTCAACTACTAGCCAGATATTGTGTTTCGCCAGAAAAATCTTCAAAGGTATGGCCTACGAATTGCTATTCAATTGTGTATGCACCCACTCTAATATATGTCTTCCTTTCTTAATTGTTTACAGTTCATGAGTTTGTCTTTCTTCCACCATTTTCTTTCGCTTTGGTAAAACATGTGGTTTCTTACTTTTCATCTTAATTTTAACTAAATATTATAACTTTGGTATCTTGGGGAACATAATTTCGTCGACAGGTAGGGTTGTATCGGTTCTAGGATCTGATGAATGAGATGAATGAGGAGTATCAGTTGATGTGGGTGGGAGGATAACCGGAAGACACAAATGGATGGCCCTACAGGCGACGGCAGATACACGGTTAGGGTCAAAAGGAGCTGCTGAAGTCTGTTGATTGAGGGGAAAGAATAATTGTTGCGCCAGTAAAAGATCAATGCCAATTTGGTAAGCACTGTAATTCATTTTGTTGATCATAGCATGATATTATTCGGTATATGTGCAAATATTTTGTATGGATGATGGATGTACGTTAGATAAGATTCTTGCTTTTATCAAGGGTAGTTTGACTAGAGTCTTTGATTGTATAATTTAATTTGGATTTTCCAAAGGCAGTGGCAAGTTTATTTTTTTCCCTAAAATATAGTTAATATTATTATTTTTTATTTTTTTTAGAGTTTTATGCGTGGGACTTTTTCGAAATAATTATTTGGGTGTTAGTTTGATGATGATTTTTTCATTCTTTATTTTGGTTCCTTACTTAATGTAATTGATGGGAGGTTATACATATAAAATAGGGTATTAATTTTATGATGGGTGATACTGTCTTGGAAACTTGTGGGTTGCAAATAAAATTTGCCGTAATGATGTGAGTGTAGGTTGTGATTTCGTGATAAAAACAAGCTTGTTATTCTAGATTTGGTTCTGCTTTGAATTAGGTTTTCATAGGTTTATCGAGATAACCTTTTGTCTGTTGAGCTGGTCATCCTAAGTTGAGGGCATGAACCCAGTGATCATGAGGGACAACTTGCATACATATAACCTTTTATATAATATTTTTTGTGGGTACATGTTAGTTTACATGATATATAGACTTGCTCATACTTTAATAACTACTTATATTAAAACAAGGTTCTTATGATAAAATTTCTCCTCTTTTAGTTTGTGTATGAAATCTACTTCCATGGGATGATGTCCTTGGGTATTTATTTATTTATTTTTTGTGCTAGACATAATATTTTATAAGATTAAAATTCTCAGATTGAATCATGGTATAAAATTCTCAGTAATATTTTGTGCTAACATCATTGGAATTTTTTTAATTGTAGAGTTGCTGAATAGCTTAAGATAGAAGAATGTTGGGAAATTCTCTATGAAAGTTGAGGTCGATGAAAAGAGTCATGCACTGCTAAATATTTCACAAATTCAATTTGACGTTCATGAAGAGTCCTCTTCTATTTGCAAGTGTCGATGCTTACAATAATCATTAAAACGTATGTTGTGGCAGGTTTCGAGATTGTTTGGCCCTTAGATTACGAATTCTCGGAACTCAATCGGGTTCGGATGGCCTCATTGCAACATATGTACAATTTGCACTACGGTTTTAGAAGCCAGGTGATTGTTTTGACTCAATCAATTTTTTCCTTTTTACACCTTTGGCTTATGGCTATGAAAAGCAAATCATTTATATGTGGCATTGCAAATAAATAACATTGTTTCTATGTGCCAAGTATATTTCTCAAGTTATCTAGACTATTTGACAGTTTCTCGTTGACAGTTGACAGAGCATTTTGATTAACAGCAGATATTACATTACATTACAGTTCAAGTATTTTATGCCAAATCTAAATTGTATTGTTTTTGTGTGATCTCAATCACTCTTCAACCAAAAAAACATGTTAATTACCAGGCTGACAATTTTCATCGTGACAGGCCCGAAGACGAAAAATCATCACCAACAAGCCTAAAAATGGTATCCATAGCTATTAAATGTTCCCAGAGTGTCTTTGCAACTGATCGTTACAAATTTCTAACTTCTATCAATTTATTTTTATTATTGATACTTTTTGCTTTTCTAGCTTGGCGAAGCAAACTTATGCTTCAAAATGGAATATATGGACTTAATGATACTGTGGTTTGTTTATGTTATATGAAGCATATATATTGATTGGCCTCATATCTTTTTATAATTCGAGTTTCTTCTTTCTCGCTCTTGCTGCCATGTTGCTTAAATTTGAGGCATAATTATAGCTGAAACTATGGCTAGCTGTACGTGCACAGCCAGAACTTTGCTGCGGATTACCTTGCTTCTATGGCATCGATCATGCCCGGAGGACTTCACATTCGAAACCGTGGCTTGAACATGATGTTCTAGGGATCGCTCACCCCCGTAACATTGTAGTCTAAGGCGTTTGCCTCCTTCATTGTACCAAAAAAAAAAAAAAAAAACAAATCAATAACAAACAAAAAAAAAATGTTGTACTAGACATGAATACACAACTTTGTAGTGCTTTTTCACTGGATTGTTGAGTAAATATTAATCTTTTGCTTTTGAACACATCTGCTCAAATATTGTGTTCAAACAATAAGATTTTATTTACGCTTTTATAAATTCATAGATATCTCATTATATTATTGTATTGTTTAGTTCCTTATATATTGTTCTTAAGTTATTTGAAAGAACATTTATACATGCCCAAAAAAATTAGTATGTATTTTTAAATATTGGCAAATATTGATTATAATTATAGACTGGACTAGAGCTGGCTGTGCGTGCACAGTCATCCGGCCAACTAGTATATATATATATATATATATAGAAATGCGCTAAAATGAGAATTAAGTTAACAAAAGAAATGAGAATACACAAGGGCCTTTTGATTTGATAAACTAACAACCGGATCGCAGTCAATGTGCTTAGTGGCATTTTGTAATTAATGAATGTTTCTGACATATGGGGGCATAATTGGAAACTATTTATAAAAAATAGAGGGGTTCGAATAGGGGATGGACCAAATTTAGGTTGACAAAGAGAGGAGAAAGTGGCGAGCGAGAAGAATCGGAAATCTTAAGGAAGATGAAAGCTAGATTTGGATTACATCAATTGATGAATAGATACAGATCGAGAGCGTAGGTAGAGTCCGAGTTGTTGTTGTCAGTCCGCGGAAGTCGCGTGAGAGCAACCAGATAGAAGCCTTTAAAATCGCGATTGGTGTCGATGAATTCCATTCATTTGAGCATCGCTGGAGGACGTGGAATTTGAGCACGACGGCCTTCTGGTCGGTGGTCAGCGTTTGGAACCTGATGGAAGAGGCAAATCCGCAAAAGTCGTTTCGGTAGGAGCGCACAGGGATATGCCGGCACCGGCCATATCTGACCCAAACCCCGAGACGACCTCCGAGGCGGTGAGCATCACTGCCTCCACGTTGAAGTCGCTGCCATCTATGAGCTCCTAGGTGATGTTGAGGCCCAGCTGGGACCGGTGCTCGGAGGCCATGAGATCAAGGCTACTGGGGATGAGGAGGGAGCTGATGGGAAGGACAGAGATGTTGTTGTTGCCAATTAAGATTTCGATCGGGGACAGCGACATGGCATTGGAGTCGGAGGCGAGGGAGCGGAACGTGACGGTGTCGGAGGCCGGTAATGTGCAATTTAATGTGCTTTATATAATAATTTAATGTGATAAATTTATAACGTGCTTCATATAATGATTTTACGTGCAATATTGTATATATAATGTGAAGGTTTTAGTCTCACTTTTTACCTTTGGTGTTTGAGGTTTTTTGTTCTGACTTTTTAGTAGTGTATGATTATCCTTGTGGTTGCTTAGGATATTTTGTTTTATCGAATAAATAGGGAAGAGAAGAAAGATAAGCTTTGTGGTGTTGACACGGGGTATGTATAGCATCAATGAGTGATACGTGTCTTAGTTCTGCCGAAAGTCTATCCCTTTTCCATTCGTCATGTGCATATATCTTTCAGAGTTTGAAGAGAAACAAATAGAATCAATGAGTGATACGTGTCTTAGTTCTGCCGAAAGTCTATTCCTTTTCCATCCGTCATGTGCATATATCTTTCAGAGTTTGAAGGGAAACAAAAGGACATTGAAGTTTATGGTTTCATTTATGATGATGTCTGGATAAACATGAATAATTTTCTGAACCTATTGTCCACGTAACCTGTCACGGGCATAATCAGTCACATATAAGCCTTGTGCATATATTTATAGTTCTATTTTATATATTATCTCAACAGGTGGACTTGACATTTTTTGTGTTCTATCATTCATCTCTTACAAATTTGATGATGAAAGGGTCACCAAAGAAGATGTGAATAAAGCATTGTAGGAACAGTATGGTGGTGAAGAGTGCCTTTCGAGTTCACAATTTGTGTCTTAGTTTATGTTGCTTATTTTCTTTGCCTTGCAGTTTCCACAAACGAATCCAGGGTACAATATACGTTCAAATTTACAAAGTACTTAAATGCATACGTGCTTGTGTATATAGGAGTTAGTGACAAAGATAAGATAATATGCAACGTGGATGAAAAGGATATAGCAGAAAATCTAAGGGTAAGGTTACAGTCATAGAAGAGATTTAATCTTATGATATTCATTGTTTTACGTAATCAATGCCAATGCTTTTTCCAGAAAAGACTGAAAAATGATCAAGAAGAGATGGAAGACAAGAGAAGATACAAAACACATGCCCACCTTTACACTATTATCAAGGTCGTCTTTACAAGTGTGCACATTTTTGTAAATCGTTCACTATATTTCCGATAAATGGAATGTGGGAGCTATTTATCATATTTTCAGGTTGCTCGAGATGTGGATTTGAAGTATTTTGAACTTGTTGATCATGACAAAGTCTGTAGCTTTCAATTCCAGAAGCATATACCTTTTAACCAATTCAAGGTAGAGTTAGTTGAAGTTTTGGTCTGATATTGACTCTCTCCCTGTGAGGAAGTTCTTTCATTGTTCTTGTTGGTTCCTTTTTTAATCATTCATTTACTATGCTTTTCTGTATCTTGTTAATGTTTGTATATTTTGGTTTAGGGAGTTTCATAGTTTAGAAATAGTGATTTAATGAACTTTTGGATTTTTATTTTCGATTTAACTCTATACAGTTATCGAAAACTTGTCGAATAATTAGGTTAAGAGTAAATCATATCGAGTGAATGACGAGGCAAATCTAATTTGCGTTCTTGGGTTTGAATGGACTTTGGATTTTGTTTGTGCTTTGAAAATTGTGGTTTTATTAGTGGAATTTGTTTTCATCTGCTTATGATGAGTTTATTAGTGTGTGGGCATATTTTCTGTTGACTTGGAGCCCACTGTTGTGACTTGTGAGTCTGTCATACTCTGTGAAATGTATACTGGGAATGTTCTTATGAGCTCAAATCTTGATTTCATTATCTAAAGTATTGGGAGATTTGTGTTACTGTAGAACATAGTTTCATTCTCATAAATATTGTGGATGATTATTTTGTATTTTATACCATATGATTCAATATTGTCTATATGTTGTGTGCATAGCCTTTTCAATGTTGTGGATTTTTCAAATGATTTTTACCATTGTAAATTGCAAAGTTCTGAGATCTATATGAGCAAAGTTATTCCCATGCGTGTATTCCTTTCTTTAGCCTAGAAACTGAACAACAAGTAACGTAAGCGATTATCCAGATCTGTGATTGACTTCAAGAGAGACCAGCGGCCTAAAGTGTCAGACAACGCAAAGGATCTCGTTAAGAAAATGCTCAATCCAAATGTCGGGCGACGTCCCACTGCCCAACAAGACCTTGGTAATATTTTCTTTCCTCGGGTTGAGCTGTACAACATAAATTTTGTTTGAGCTTATAGTGAAAAACCGAAACTGGAGGTGGAACTAAGAGTACATTTTTTCTGCAATCTACTTCTTTATATGCAGAGCACCCACGGCTGCAGAATGTAAATAAGGCCCCTAATGTTTCACTGAATGAGATTGTGTTTTGTTAGTTTGACAGGTTTGTGATAAAAATTATAATGTGCTTTATATAATGATTTAATGTGTAATATTTTATACAGTAATGTGCAATTTTAGTCTCAATTTTTATCTTTTGCCTTTGCAGGAATATATTTGTCGTCTAGTGATTCATGCCAATGTTTGAATATTTCAAGTTGAAGTATATTTTTATGGGTTTGCTCGCTAATTGAATTTATCATGTACAAAAGATATAAGAGTGATCATCAATTTTTTGATATTTAGTAGATGATTTTTTTTGGGGGGGCTAGAGTACATTTTTGTATTTTGCCATTTAGCCTCTAAACGTTTTGTTTTCAAGATGAAATATATTTTTGGTTATGAATATTTTTTTTGTCTCGATTTATGGAATTTAGGCATAAAATTTCTAGAATATGAACATCATGCAATGACATGAATATGTTTCTTCTGTTATCGCTATTATTTTGAATGCGCTCGTATTTATTTGAGCTCAAGCAATATATCGTTCCTTTATATGGATGTTGTACTATTTGTATAAAGTGTGATACATGTCCTCCAATTTTTTAGTATTAAATCTTCCTCTGCCATTGTTCCATCTAATCGATAAAAAATCTCATGGTTTGTGTTTGGAGTTAAGGGTTTCGTGTTGGAAGAAAAGTCGTTATATTTTGGAGTTTAACATTTAATCGGTTTTGATGACTTTTCAGTATAATGTGCAACATTTAAAACACTATTGTGCATGTTTGGAAACACAATTGTGCACTTCTAAATAATAGCCCAATGTAACAACAAGCATTCTTGGGTCGAATCCAAATGGAGGCGTGTTTGCACAAACATGGAGAATGAATCCAAATGGGGGTGTGTTTGCACAAACATGGAGAATTATTCATTCGACACAGTTGTGCAACATTTTAATTGTAATGTGCAATATTGTGACATACAATGTGCATTAAGGTTTTAACTAATTTATGTAAACTAATTAAGAAACAGGTAAAAAGACAAAGCAATGTGCAGTTGCACAGGAATTAATGTGCACTTTGTCTAACATTGTTGTGCATTATGTAATGCGTTAATATAGTGGTAAATATGTAAACTTTTAATGTGCATATTCACACGTTATATTGTGCATTTCACATAACATTATGGTGCATCATTAAAATTTTATTAAAATATAGATTTAACCATAAATAGCAATACATTGAAATTTTTTATTTTATTTTACACAAAACCTTTATCATGATACCAAGAACATTAGTTCAAAAGTGTATCTGATAGCATTTGAATCACAAGGCAGGGTATTACTAAATGATACAATATCTCATAATGAAACTAAACAAACATGGAGTTAAACTTTGACTTAGAAACCAAAATAACTTAAAACTCTGAAGCCACGGTTGTTTCTCCTTCCTCTAGCCCTCCCAAATTCCATTCCCTTTGCTCGAACATATGGTATGGTGTGGCTGTGTGGCACGTTAGGAGCTGGCCTAAAGTGCTTCACAGCTTCACGGGCATCACGCGAACCCATCAATAGCACATGTTCAAGAACATGTTTAGCAATCGACAAATTCTGAAACTACATTCACTCAAAATTAAAACACTATTTCCAAATCATAAGCACCAGTATGAAAAGACGCATACCTTGATAAATATAAATATCTATCGAGGAAATTATTATAACTATGTTTTAAGACCAAAAATACATTCTTTGACAAAGTATAATACATAATGTAGGCTAAACCTACAACACTACGTAATAACGCAGACTAAACAATCTAAAAGAGTTCCCAATATCAGAATGGGTTCACTTTACATAGCTCACATAATTCATACGAGTGGATATACATGTGTTTCATTAGCAGAACAACAACAAAATCGTGCAAGAAACATCATACCTAGAGTCATAATCCATCTATTTAGGAACTTAATTTAATGTTTCGAATATTTCCAAGGTTGCCGACAACATAACTTCCATTGATGCCAGAGACTAATAGTCAAACCCAAATGAATATTAGTATACTAAAAGATGAGTTCCACAGGAACAAGATAAGCCAGCACACAAGTTCAAAAAATTTTGAATATAAAGTGATGGCATTAAGTTGAAACATCTCATTGAATTATTATCCCGTGAAACCTGATGAGCAACAAGTCAAGAACCAATATGCATAAAGTTTAAATATAACTCATGTTAGCTACACTAAGAACATAAGTACTTTAAGAAGAGCAAATCATTACCTGCATTTTGTCCAAGAGAAGCCCTCAGAGCTAGCTGGTCAAAAGCCAAACATTCTCCTTCAGCTATCTCAATTCTAGCCTGAGCTGCCTCATTGATTAGTAACCTTCATAGCAGGGACCTCGTCAACCGCAATGTCAACGTCCACAGTCCCAACCAACACGATTGGTTTTACATTCCGTTCATGAGAGACGTGAGATTGACAGAGGAGGGCTGTTTCTTCCCTTATTTCTCTGTTTTTCCTTCTCAAAATCCAGAAACAAAAACAGCAGATCGCTTCCCCTAAATTGCACATCGCCTCAAATCGACGACGTCGGTCAAGTGGCCCGGTTCGGAGAACGACATCTGACTGGTGCAGCGAAATGGCAACCGACGACGAGCAGCAACCGTTGGGCTCGGCTCGTAAATGGTTGAGGTTTGGAAGCCGACCAGAAAACTATAAAGAACGATAAAATTTTTTACCGTCAATAATCCGTCTCAGATTGTCAAATTGTGAAACAAATATAAAGGGAAACAAGGTTAAAAGTTAAATCGAACTAATAACCTTCATCTTCAATTATCCTTCGACAATCTAAAGCATCAGCAGCCCCAACAGCTACATTATGACCCTTGGATTAAGTATAATTAAAATTACATCCAAGGGTCAAAAATCATCTAACATAAAAAAAGTACAATCTTCTTCTTCAATGAGAAAGTGTTGTGTCTGTGTTTGAAAGAAACATAAAATTGCACACGCTCGATTCTGCGTCACAGTTACACTCAAAAAAACAACTTCTCAACCCAAATACAAACCAATTCACGAACACCCAGAAACCCAAACACAACAAACAACAATACCCAGTTAACCAAAACCCTTTCTCACTGTAATTGAAAGGAATCCAACTCAAAAACACAACACGGGTGCGAATTTTCAAATTGACTCAAAATTCAGCTACGGCTTCGGAATCGAGCTCACGGCCTCGAACGTGGCCGCCCTCCGCTGCGCGGCCCACTTTCTCGAATGGTGCACATTCTGGAAAAAAAACTCTTGAATGAAGGAGTAATGAGTGATGACCATTCAATATATTTGCAATCTCAAAAGTGAAGTGAAGCGCAGAGACCGAACTCTAGTAATAGCCATGGAATGGAAGGAGCTGCTTTCCCTCGCCGGAAAAACGTAATCCGATCTTGTGCCCTTATACGAGGAAGATGCTGCGGATATACAGATACGGAAGAGGTACACCGATCTTGAATGAAGGGAGAATTGACGTATTCAAGAAGGAAAATACAAGAGCATTGTTGGTGATTTTTTTATGTTAGATGATTTTTTACCCTTGGATGTAATTTTACTTATACTTAATCCAAGGGTCATAATGTCATTGTTGGGGCTGCTGTAAGTGACTCACAGTAACACCCCTTTACCCCAAATCAAACAAGCAAACAAGAGCGCCTTTTAGCAACCAGCCACAACGACTGATCGGAACAACAGACAAAGAGCTTGAGCGGCGACGCCGTCGGGGAGAGCATATCGCAAACGACTGCGATTGAGTTTGCGTGCGGGGAACCCAATTTGTGACCGAGTTTGCAGATGACTTCAACGCGATGGGGAGGAGAGAGGCGGGTTGGGTTGGAGAGATTGTCCAAAATATCCTTACTGTGTGTAAAATTTTAGTTTTGTTATGGCCATTGGATGAACGAATCTTGTGGTTATTATGTATTCTTATTTCTTTCATTGAGCACATTTCTCACTAGAACGCATATAT